CCCTCTTCCAGTTGTATGATGACTACCATGGCTAAGTCGCCTGCCGTCAAGGCACCGCCAAACTCTTCGCGGCACATCTTGTCCAGCTCAAGAAGAGCACCCACCGCAGGAATAGTCATGAGGGTGATGTCGCCGACTTCCTCCCCTGTCAAACCGTTGACGAGAGTGAATAGCTGTGCGCTATCGTCTACGATAGACACATCCTGGGTCACTGCGTCTTGCAGGTAACATTCGGCTCCGCCGACTCCTCAAAGAGGTATTACGTCTCGGCGAGATCATTGTGAGATCGCGCTCAACTTCCTGCTCCAACGGGGCCTGATCTTATCAACAACATCCGACAAAGAGCTGCTAGCACAGAAGTCTTCATCCAGTGGATAACGTGGCACTCCACACGCATCTGAAGGGCCTTGCCCAAAATTCCTCGGACCTCGTTTGACCATGCCACTCGTGGCATTAAGCGAATTCTTCGAACCGTGAGCAGCCTCAGTGAGTTAATGTCACTTCACGTGCATCACTGGAATCTCGTCCTCGATGCTTCGGCCCCTGGCCGACCAGGTCACGCATGGTATACAGCGACTGATCCGTACTTGAGCAGCGCTCAGTGGGGTACATGCCACTCCACATTCAGCCCGCGAAACATGTTTTAGAATCCTGTTCGATACACCTTCGGTTATTCGACAACTCGGACACTCCGATCTCCAACACGTTGACAGTCCCGGTTCAGTGCCCGCAATAATAGCTTTTTAGCCTCCTAGCAAAGGTGGGTTCATGATTCAACAAAGCTCCACCAGGGGACGTGCGCGTAGCGCCATAGGTCTTCGACCTTCGATCGATCCATGGCATGTGGCGTTCCACTTATGTCATACCAAGGATAAGGTCACACCTTGAATCCAAGACTAAGACTAAGCAGCGCTCCACGCTTTCAGAGTCACGAAGCTTGACACCGAAGTCCACAGGGACTCTCGGAACCGTGATCAACGTCTCCGTCGCTAGGCGAACAGTAAAGATATCACTCAACCGCGCTTAAAGAACCGCAGCATACAGCTCACTTCTTTCTATCGTGGAGCGTAGATCATGATTACCCGACGCACAAAACTCGATAACGATCCTCCGTGGCTTCTCAAAGCCTTTCACGGTCGCTTGCTGGTCACGACCAGCAAGCTCTGTTTGCATACACGTTCCGTGTTCAAGAGCACAAGCTCTTGGGGGCTGGTCCCTGCAGACCTCTTTCTCTTTGAGGCTCATCAGAACTCAGTTCTTTTACCCCAGTAGGGCGCTTCACGCCTACTTAATATTCCGGTTTCCTCGCATCAAACCAGAACACTGGTAAGAATCGAAACGCCGGTTCGATGAACATTGACGCGCCTTGCGCAAGGGAAACCAATCCCAAGGTTTTGGGTGTCTCCACAGACAAAACACCGTCGGGCGTTGGAACGCGACTTGACAGCACGGAGCTCTCCCCCCTTATAGCTGTCATCAGCTCTGATCCCCTCGACGAGCTGCTAGTGCGTGCATTCCAGCCAAGTCGTGCCGATTTAAAGCTAAATTCGACATTCAATGCCACATTCAGTGCTTTTTCAAAGGAATACGGATGTCCACGCCAGTGCGGAGGCCCTCCATAAAGACGATCACTGCGACCGCCTCGGGGAGAGGATCGGCTGCCATACCGGCAATGAGAGTCGAACAAAGTCCACAAACTCTTTCTTGCCCGGTCGGGTGGCAAGGAAACGCGATCGCACGCGATATGCCTAGTTAGGCGACGAGAACTTTCGTAAAAGCTGTAGCTTCAGCCCCTTCCAGTAGAGAAACGTCGCTTCGACTTAAGTGCCGCACAAGTGTCCATTCTCGCGCTTGACCACCGAGCTTGGTGAACAGTGGTGTGATTACACCGTCCTGTGTAACCCGCACACTTGTATGGTCACACCATCTTGTGTCACCCACCCCTTCATACAGGGTCCATGCCGCCACGTTACACAATCCAACCTCCGGACTGATCGTGTAGGTGTGCAAGTCATGCCTAGTGCTTCCACTGATCCTTTAATTTTGACTTTTGTGGGGCCGCAGTACAAAATGTTGTCGGGTGCATGCCTATTTACATTCGTTAACCCGTAGATTGACAACTACTAGCAGAGTTCTCGTCAATTAAAGTATCTCAGTTCTTCTAAATTTGCCGGCTACCCCAGAAGCCGACTATTCAGATGATTCCTTCTTCCTCAAGCCCTCCGCGCCAGCTGCCACTCTCCTTTTGCCCCATAAAGATGATGATACCAGCTGCTTTTCCTATAAAATCTTCACCGACCATCCCCCCTCGCGCTGTGATTGGCTCGAAACCTGAGGTATTTGGTCGTGAACTACAGTAGACCCACCTATGCCAACTTTGGATCTCCAACTGGCTTATCGCCAGCCCCTCATCCGACTATACCGTCTCCTCCTCTCTTTCCCATTCTCTCCAACGTCTGAGTTTCCCGCTCTGCCAGCCGTTGTGCCTACTGTTGTGGTTGACCCCAAAAATGAGCTCATGAACTAGACCCTCACCATCGTCGATTCGCCTCCTGACGCGTTGCGTCTTCGGACGACGAGTCGATGGATCTAACGCAACCTCCTGTCAGCAGATCCCTTCCTCCAGGCCTCGACACGCGTCCGACGTTCGCGGGATTGTTGTGGAGGCCCCGAAGCCCTCGCTTGTGACATCATTACGATCGAGCTTCAGTACGTCGCTGTTAGTACATCTCGACTCGCATGAAGGAGACGCGACCGTATGAGCTTCCGCACGCCAGATACAACATGGTGATCGGCACTGATCAGACGTTCACCAAGACTCCGCCTCGGAAGATCATGGTGTCGCTGGCTGGTAAGCGCCATGGTAACGAAGCTATCGACCAGCTATTCGTCGAGTTCGCGATCGGTGGCATCCTCCACGTGAAAGTGAAATAAGCCTGCTTGAAGCTGGACCACAAGAAGGTCAATATTCTTGGCAATGTATTCGTGTTCAAGGAGCTCGACGTACTTGGTAGCAAGTACCTCATCGACATCGCAAATGTCAACTCGGACATCAACACGGACATGATCCCCCTCTGCTTGTAATTATTGGATGCAAGCCGGTTTACGACACGTTTTGCAGAGTTTACCTCGTGACGAGAATTATGTCCGCTACTTGGCGCATCTACCTCCTCACCAGCACATGTCCAAGTGCGTTGATGGTGGATGCGTCGGTATGCGACAAGATCCTGTTTGATAACAAGTTGCATCCGGCGCATGGCAAGAATACGGTCGAAGTCACGAAGCGGTTACTTAGTGTGTGGGGCCCACCAACTCCCCATTAGGAGTCACGTTCCTCGACCGATCTTTGATTGTTGATCATGAAAGTTTATAGGTGCTGTCTGTATCCATAACTTCCTATCATTAGATTGTATATATCAGCTGATACTACAATAGTGTATATATTTAGCTAAGTACAATTGAGGAGTCTTCACTTCCATAAACTATAATTTAAACAAAATTTTAACTGAGGTATTATAATCTGCACATTCTACCTGTTTTTTAATCGCCGAATCGCTTCACGGTTATACATCCCAATGATATATGGTACTTCTTATGTCGTCAAGCTTACAAGCTTTCATTCAAGTTGTCTTTCGACCTCATTTGCCCCAATGTCTTCTTTAAAAATACTGATTTCACAGCTAA